CATGCTTCAAAAATTTACGGGCTTTACCATAATTTACTTACCTTAATTACTCAGGACAGAAGGCCTAATCCCAGCACTAGGATCACAAGGCAATCAAGGACCTAATCACAATATTCTCGAGTTAATATCTATAAGGAAATTTCATTCCTTTATTTATTTTCATTTTTGCTTTCTATGTGAAAATCAAGCATTAACCGGGATTGGGTATTTATCTATATATCTACAATTATGTAATTACCCATATACCATTTTCCTCAATCTATGGACAAGCAATGGGAGAACCGGCCTTGACAAAAATGGCCAACTCACGGGTTCTCCCCTTTCCTCATGGACACACACACACAACAGCCAAAACCCCCTGATTTCCTACACAATTCATCAACCAAAACTCATTTTCAAGTTGCCGAAATCCTCCCTGTTTCAACAAAACTCTCGGACAACTCAAGCCCATTTCATATAGCCTAGCCACTTAAACTCAAATCAGCACTTAACAACCAATTTCAAGAGATTAAAGAAGCCAACTTACCAGAAATGCTCAACAAGCAAAGCTGGAGCTGGCGGGATGAAGAGGTGCCGACGGGAAGAATTGCAGGGGCTTCCACGGGACCACTAGGAATTGGAAGAACAAGACGATTTGAGTGACCCAACTTAAATCAAGGTTGAAAAAGAGGAGTTTCTGGACTGATTTTACCAGGAAAAACCAGTAGCAGCCGGCGGCAGAGGGGGAAGAAGCAGAGCAGATCCGACGACTTTTCTGCAAAAGAGAGAAGTTCAAAGTCCTAGACTTGTTCTTGAGCAAGAGGGGAACAAAAATCATCAAGCTCTCTTACCAAATTTGCAGATGGAGGCTTCGGTTATGGCTGGGGATGACCGGCTGCAGAGGAGAAGAAAAACAGAGCAGACACGCGAAAGTGCTGGGGGAAGAAAGAAAGAAAGAAGAAAAAGAAAAAAAAAAGAAATGAGTCAGCTGGCCTTATCCAATAAGAATTTAACCCCCTTGAAGTTTGAAAAATTGACAATTAGGTCCACTAATAATGTTTCTTCACCATTAGGTCCTTAACTCAACTTAATATGCTTGAAATTTTTTTGGGGTATTACAAGCGCCACGTGGGCCAAGGGGGTGCTCACACGTGCAGATGTATGTCAGCACCAAGGGGCTATAAATACCCCCCCAACTACCTCTGAGGAAGGTAATTAATCTCTACGCTTCTCTCTCTGCAATTACTCCTTGAGAGCATCTCTCTCTAGAATATTGAGTATTGCTGACTTAAGCATCGGAGTGTTTTCCCCGAGGAAACAACCTCGGGATTTTCAGGTGTAGAAGCAGCTAAGGATTTCAACAGTATTGGACTGCGAAGCTGCCCAAACAGTTGGGTATTATAATCAAAGTGTAAGGGTTGGCAAATACCAGTTTTGCTGAAAACTGACACCGAAAAGTAATGGTAAAAACCAACATTTAGCCCCTTACTTTACAAAATTGATAGATTTTAGCCTTTTATCTTATAATATGATACTTTTAGCCTTTTAGCCTTTTACCTTACAAATTTGGTAAGTTTTAACCCTCCACCTTACAAAATTAGTAGATTTTAACCCCTTACCTTATATTATGACATTTTTAGCCTCTCACCTATACGAATTGAAGAAAATAACTCCTATCTAATATTAGGTTATAACATTTTGTTGGTTCTATTAACTGACTGTTAACATCCGTTAGCATTTCGTTATAGAAAATATGAAATTAAAATTCAATTTTATTTGTTAGTTCCATTAACGAAATGATAACAGATGCTAATAGTTAGTTAACAGAACTGACAGTCAACTAACAGAACTAACAAAACATTATAACCTGATGTTAAGTGAAAACTATTTTCTTCAGTTCATATAGATAAAGGGTTAAAAGTGTCATAATATAAGATGAGGGGCTAAAACCTATTAATTTTGTAAAGTGAAGGGTTACAATTTACCAACTTTGTAAAATAAAAAACTAAAAGTTTCATATCATAAGCTAAGGAGATAAAACCTATTAATTTTGTAAGGTAAGGGGCTAAAAGTTGGTTTTCGCAAAAAGTAACTAACCAATCTTTTTTCTTTTTTTCTTTCATGACCGAAACCAATATCAAAATTCTTCTTATTTTTTGGTATTGGATACTAAAATTTCTGGTATTCATTTTTTTTATTTCGGTATTCACCAATGCTGTTGGTGGGAAGAGCATAAAGGGGAGAGAACATTGGAAAAGATGAAAAAGGAGGGCGAGGGTTTAGAAGCAGATAAGATTATGAGGAAATTGGGTGGAAAAACATGATAATTTGATATGTAATCTTTTATAGTTGTGAAAAAATCATAAAAAAATGTTATAGATTGAAAAGAAATCGTGATTAGGAGTTGGAGATTTGAAGGGAAAAAGTTTTTGAGGGTAGATGAAAAAATGGTAGCGGCGGCAATGGAGAACTGATGATTTAGGGTTTTATGTTTTTTTTTTTTTTTACTTGTTTTAAATCTTTTGGGCCTACAAATTGGGCCTCAGTACGGTCAATTTGGATGCCCCTAATCGGTTTTTAGTTAATAGATTTTCGAACAAAAATCAAACCAAAAAACTTACCGGTTAATACCAAAACCGGATGCTCATTACCAATGGCACCAACCCAAATTCCAATTTTTGTGTCGATTATCGGTTATCCATTTGGGTAACCACCCGAATGCCCACCCAAATCAGGTGTATGTAGATGGTGGAGAAGTAAGAGAGAAGAAAACAATCAGGTATTGTTTTTGCAAAAATTTTACTTTCTATGAATTTGAGTACCTTGGTAATTGAAATAATATTTTTTTTTGGCTAAAAAAAAAATGAAAAAGGAAAACCGAGGGGAGCAGAAAAGAGAACAGGGAGCCTAAATAAAAAAGAGAGAAAGAGAAAGAGAGAGAGATAGAGAGAGATCTACACCTAGCTGCTAAGGGTTCGGGAATTGCAAAGCCAGATTATCAAGCTTTCCAACGCCAGAAGTGCTTACTGGTCAATCATCGTTTGGCTAAGAGTTGTAGTAGAAGTTTGTAGAATGAAATATAAAACACAATTTTTTTTTTTTTAAGTCGCTTACGGTAAGTCAGTTTGATTTCCTATCTTCATTTTTCTAAAAATTTATTTTATTTCTTCATTGATGGATATTTGGATCATCTTGGCAGTATGCTTGAGACATTAGATATTGTTACCGCGTTGTTATGAATTTGATGATGAGAATTATGGAATATGTTTCCACATGTATTGTTTGAATGATTTTGTTAGTTTGTCAAATAAAATTGAGGCTTGTGGGCTGTGTGTTCTGAGAACAGAAATCAAAATATGGGAATCAGTTCCGAGAGTCCCTTTTGTCATCCATGTGTTCCTAGTACCTGGGGAGTTTGATTCAGTGTAAGAAATCGCACACTAATTGTCTTTTACATCCGTTTTTCAAATTGCAAGTTATACTAAGTTCTTAAAGGAGATATTGTCTAATAAAAACAAATTGAAAGATCATTATCAAACAGTGAAGCTTACTAAAAAATATTTAGCTATTTTTTAAAATAAGGTTCCTCTAAAACTAAGAGATCAAGGAAGTTTTATAATTCCTTGCATAAGTTTGATAATGTCTTGTGTAATTTAGCATAACTTTAATGTGTTTTCTGTTTTTAGGAAGCTTAGAATTGGAGAAGCTAAGGCACTACAATGTGTTTCTATAACTTGTGAATATGTCCTTTAAACACAAGGGGGCATCAATCATTGAAGATGTTATATATGGTGAAAGTAGATAATTTTATCTTTCCTATTAATTTTATCATTTTAGATGTCTCTCATCCTAAGTCAACCTTTTTTAGGTATTAGTAGAACTTTTGATTGATTTGTTGCAAGGAAAGTCAACTCTTATCCCTTGTTTAATTCAAGGGAAAAGGATTGGAAGGAAGGGAAGAGGAGATAATATCCTTCCATTTTCCTCTGCTTCCTCCTTTTCTTCATTTGGTTATGGTAAAATTATAAAGAAAATTAAAGGGAAGGTCTTTCCCTCCCCCCTCCTTCCCTCCCCCCTCCTTCCCTCCAAATAAGGAAATTTATCCTCCGTCCCGTCCTCCCCTCTCAAACCAAATAAGCTGTTAAACTACATGATGAGCAAGTTAACCCACAATAGCTACTTTGGTTAAGACTAAGGGTTAGTTTGATATAACAGATAAAATTCAATAAATAGTAAGTAATAGGTAGCAGTTAGTGAATAATAGATAGTGAACAGGTAAAAGTGAATAGCAAATGTTGATTGATATAATTGCTTGGTTAACCAATATTTAGTGGTTGTTATTTGATGTTAAATTGCTAACAAGGGCTTATTTAAAAGGAGTGTATTTTTATATTTTCTATTACT